GAATTTCTAATTCCAACTTTGCTTCTATTCTATTAATCTTATTTGCAATCCAAATTCTGAATTTAATTTCTGACATCTCAGCCATCTGTTTATAGATGGGATCTTCAGTTGCATCTGTCATATCCTTCCTTGGGGGGTTGATCTACTCTGGTTATTCACATTACCAGAGTTTTTCCGCTGATTCTGCCCCATGCTTATTTTACACAGTTTGGCTAGATTAACCAATAAGGAGAAGTTAGGTTGGGGGCTCCAGGAGTAGTGATTGACTAGCCCTTTGCCCAAAGGCTGGGACTGGTGTCTGTACCTTTTCCCCTAGAGCTTTGCCAAGGACCTGTACAGTGCTACAGCCTGAGAAACTGGGAGCCTGCTTGGTGTGGTGGGGCTAAGTGGCTCTGTCTTGTTTTCAGATGGTCTCTGTTCTACCCTAGTAAATCAGTTACTCTGAGTTGAAGTCTCAGCTGTGGAGAAATACCAGCAATTAAGTCACCCTTCCCCCCACAGATAAAAACTGGGAAAGGAAAATCAACCCTTCCCACAACCATACACCCAGGGTACCACTTTGGATAGTCCTCAGGTGACTGGCCCAGTTCAAGAGGTCCAAATCAATTGTCCCAGTCAGCACTGGTCTCAGGTGGGGGAGTTCAAAAGATCTTTGGCAACTAGGTAGCAGGGGTCTGCTGGCAGCTCAAGTATGACTCTCTCTGGTGCTCCGTGAGGTCAGAAGGACCAACCCAGCAAATAAATTACTCTGGAAATGTTGATGCCTCCTTCCCCACCTTGCACCACTGTCACACCCAGTCACTGGTAACCCCAGTGGGCTGTGAACAGGGCTGTGACCCAGTTCCCCACAATGAGCAGATGCTCCAGGGGTTTGCACCTGCCTGAGTCACAAGGAGATATATGTGTCCTGAGCCAGGCTGCTGCTCTCTGCCACTATCTGGCAGGGGGAAGTGAGGCCTGACAACCTCAGGTGCTTAATGGAGGCTGGGGCCATTCACTCAGTTCCAGCCCCAACCCTGATTGATGTTGCTGGCAGAATAGAACATCTTCGCAGAATTTGTTTCTGTCCCAGCTATATTCCCTTGCACATCAGATGCTACTTGAGGTGACAGAAACCATGACTCAGTTCCGGGCAGTGGCAAGCAGTTAGAGCTCACACTCAACTCTCAGTTCCAGCCTCTGCCTGCCCGTTCTTTGTCTCAGCTATAATCCCCCAAGGGCCAGGTGAATCTTAGCCTCAGTAAAGTAGTCCTCTGGCTCAGCCCCACCCTGGGAGTCTGCTGGCTCTGTGCATATTCTAGTCCCTGTGCTCTGCCCAGGCTGCTACCACTTCAGGCCTTCCTTTTACTCACGGGGCCTGTGCTTCCAATCTGTCAGCCAGTGACTCTCACCAGAGAAGATGCCCGGCTTCCTCTGGTTACCCAGAGAGACAGGGCAGGTCTGTCCAGAATAGCCCCAGGGGTATGAACCTTATTGTTCCCACTTCTATGGCCAGCCACTGCTCTGCACCTTGGGGCACCACCACTCCTGTATGGTTCCCTCTCAGCTGACTGTCCGCTCCTTACTCCCATGCTGCAGAATCAGCACAGATAAGCAACAGCCCTTTCCCTGTCCACACCTCTCAAGAAAATGCCCAAGAATCTGGACTCCATTGGGGACAGGCTTGCATGCCTCAGAGTGAGAGTGGAAGGGAGTGCTGGCAGTTCAGAATTGCAGGTAGAGAATATATAAAGTTTTATACAGTTTTATGCCTGGCAGGAGAGTGCCATGGCACCCTAGTAGGGGTCCAGTTTTTAGAAAGTCTCTGCTGTGGGATAGAATGGGAGGATGTTTGAACTCTGCTCACTTGTTTGTAATGGAGTTTACTGCGAGCCCTTCTCTTGGGGGAGGGGACTCCCATCCACTTGGTAATGGCTTTAGTACCCTTTGTTTGTATCCTTGGGGTTGCAGCTCCTCTCAGCAGGGTTGATGTGTGTTCTCCAACCTTCTCTCTTGGCTCAGCTCCAAACCATCAGCTTACTTGGTAAACTTCTGTCTTTTAACTCTCTTTCTGGATGGGAGCCTCTATGGAAAGCTGGCTGCAGTTTGTCATCTTGCCTCCGCCTCCTCTGCATTTAGTATATTGACGATCATTTCCTTACCACCCTTGAAGATCACTTCCTTGAGTACATACTCTGTCGACACCTATGAGATCATTTCCCCGAGCACGCAGCCCCTGCGTGTCTTTGCTTAGTAATCTTTCCACCTGTTATGTATCTTCTCAATAAAAGGACTCTCCAAGAAGTGCTCTGTGCTATCCTGCACCTATGGGTAGCCTACCTCTTGCAGTGTGTACTGTCAATCCATGTCTCACATGATCATTTATGCAGTCATGACAGACTGTGGTTAATAATATTGTATTGTATTCAGGATTTTTGGTAAAAGAGTCCATTTTGTGTACTCTTGGAATATACACAAAAAAGGTCACTATATAAAATAATGGATATGAAAAAAATAAATAATGGATATGTTAATATGAAAAACTAGCCAAGTGTGGCGCCATACACCTGTAGTCTCACCTACTTGGAAGGCTGATGCAAGAGGATTCCAAGTCCAAGAGTCTGAGGTTACTGTGGGCTACAATGACACCACAGGACTCTACCCAGGGTGAGACTCTGTCTCAAAAAAAAAAAAAAAGAAAGAAAAATTAAAGAGGGGCCTGACAGCAGATTTAAATTGACAGAGGAAAGAATCCATGAACTTGAAAATAGGTCAATTAAGATTAAACAGTCTAAACAACAGAAAGAAGAAAATGAACAAAGCCTCAGAGACCTGTGGGACACCATCAAGCTACTAATATACACATAATGTGAGTCCTAGAAGGAGAGGAGAGAGAGAATGGCAAAGAAAGAACATTTGAAGAAATAATGGCCCCAAACTCCCAAGTTTGATGAAAAACTTCATCAGATCTGCATATCCAAGAAACTCAGCAAACTCCATGTAGGATAAACTCAAAGAGATCAACTCCAAGGCTCACCATAATCTAACTGTCAAAAGACAAAGACAAATAATCTTGAAAGCAGCAAGAGAAGTCAGGCAACACCCCCTCCACACATGATTTCCCAGAAGCTCCCTCCTGGAAACAACCCAGACAGAATCTGAGGTAACAATCACTTGTGAGTCATCAACAGCACCATCCTGTTAGTGAAGTCAAAGATGGAAGATGGCCAAGGCTCTCAAACCTTTCAGGTGCTCTCTCTTTCCCTTCCAGTCTCTTATTCAGGGTCCCAGCATGGCCCCCTCCCTCCTGTGAGGCAGAATTGAGAGGGTCCACAGGGGTTATCACCAGCAGTGTTTGGGGCAAATCTGCACCGCATCACTGAGGATCTGACATGACAATCACTGCTGTCCTCTGACGGTCACAGGACTTGCCCAGTTGGGGAAATAGCTAAAAAGTAAGTAACTGTTGACCTTAGATCACATAGTATTTGTTCTAAGCATAAAGTAATATATAACATTTCTCTTAAAAATAAGTTCCTATTCTTAAAGTATAATTATGAAGACTAGGCATATTTCTTTAATTCATGTTTTATATCCACACAGATGCACAATTAGCTTTTTGTTTTATATCTACATATTTGATATGGCACTTATTTCATCTCTTTCTCAAAGATATTTTACTGGTAACTTAAGAAAGACTTGGAGATGAAATTTTTCCATTCAGACCAAGGAGACTATCATTCACTCAGCCAATATTTCCCAAACATTTGTCTTGTGCCAGACATTGTGCTAATTGTTGGACAGACAGATGAGGGATGAAGTGTTCCTAGCAGGACAGGAGGGGCATTAAGAGAGCCCCCATAGGAGGTAACTCCTTATCTGAATCTTGAAGAATTACCTGGGTGAACTGAAGTAAGGCTGGGCAAGGCTATCCAAGGAGAGGGACCAGCATGGCATGGAAGTGGGGAAGAACTTAGCATATTTGAGGGATTCCAGACAAAGAACCATAATAGGGCATAGACAATCAAAGATCCAAAATTCAGTTAAATTCAGTTCAACTCAACTAGCATTTTTATCAATTCCTTCCTATATGCACAGTTTTATATCAGATGCTAGGTTACAGAGATGGCAGGAGGATATATCTAGTGTCATTCCAATCAAGTGTGACAAATAACAGCGGGAATCCGTTGAGAGAGATATCAGGGCGGTGGCAAGGAACCTTATCTGGAGGGTCTGAGGAACTCTCAGAGGTGAGGGATGAAGAGGAACTCAAGCCCACTGAGGGAGGAAAGGTATTATCAGTAGAGGACACAGCACATGCTTCGGGTCCTGAGCACTGAATACAATTTGTTGTCACTGAACTTTAGAGTTGAGTGGAGAATGGTGGGACAGCAGGAGTTGGGTTGCACAGAGCCTTACTAGGGTGTTTGGCTTTTATATTTGGCAATGGGATCTTCAAGGTGTATAAACAAGGGTGAGATGACGGGACAGTGATTTAGAAATGCCCTTAGGAATGCAGTGTAGGAAGCAGATGGGAGGATGATGTGACTTCAAGAAATGTTAACTAGCACAGCTTGACAGCTGATGAAAGATGTGGTGAGAGAGAAGAAGAGGTCAAGAATGAGCCCTGGTTTCTGTTGTGTGTGACTGAGTAGCTGTCCACAGCATGGCTACCATCTCTGTGTACACCACACACCACACACACACACACACACACACACACACACACGCTCATGCCATCCGCCTGCCTTTCTTTCTTCCCTACTCCCTGTTCCCAAACTAGAAACTGAATGGCACAGGGAAATCCCCCAAATCTCCTCAAACCATGTTGCTTCACACTGTGGTGTCCAGTGAGGTCCATCGAGTGAGGACGGATGCCGGCAGGAAGCACAAAATGGAAACCACGGCTCTTACTATTCCACCTGCCCTGTCTGGCTGCACTGAGGCCTTCCCTGCACCCTGACACTTGGCCTGGCCCTGGCCCTTTTCTCATCCCTCAACTTAATTTTGTTGTTACTGGAATTTTTGTGACTAGTTCTGACATCTGACACCTCAGATATATGACAACATTTGGAGATGGTTCTCCCTCTTTCCTTCCTTCTCTGCTGCCTCTCTTTCTCTCCCTTTTCCTCTCCTCCTCCTCCTCTTTCTCTCTCTACCCCAACACTACTTTTTATTTCATTGTGTGACACACTGCATTCACTGGGGCACATGTAATATCCATGTGCAGCTTAACACATTTTTATAATGACACACATGGACCCACCACCCAGGCAAAGAAACAGAATACTGCCAGCTCCGCAGGACTCTCTCAAGAGCTCACCTAAGAGCTCTCAGTAGTCCCAGGCTGTCACTCCCACACAAGAAACTGCTATCCTGACTATACGACTCACTTCCTCGCTTTTCTTTTTTTGTGTTATCATCTAAGTATGTTTCCCTAGAGTTTAGTCTTGCTTCTTTTGGACCTTTATCCTTTGAAATCCCTTGATCCTGCTTCTTTCTCTCTGCACGGTGTTGATGAGACTCACCGTGCTGCTGCAGCTAGCTGTGCTGTCTGTCACATGGGGATCCCACCAGTCTTTATTCCATTCTGTTGACTGTCACCAGCTTGTTTTCAGTATCGACCTCTTATAAACAATACTCCCTGAACCTGCCTGTATGTGTATCCTAGTCACAATTCATAAGTTTCTTAAGGGTTTATATCTAGGTAAATAAGGTGCCATGATAATGTTCACTTTTACTCAATATTTTCTGAGAGTCCTCTTGTTCCATATCAGGGGTCCTCAAACTTTTTAAACAGGAGGCCAGTTCACTGTCCCTCAGACCGTTGGAGGGCCGGACTGCAGGCCCCGGGACGAGTTGGCTGCTAAGCAGAACAGGCAGCAGCGGCATAAACACCCGGTGGGCCAGATAAATGACCTAGGCAGGCCGCAGTTTGAGGATGCCTGTTCCATATCTTTGCCCACATTTGACATTGCCACTCACTTTTTTGTTTTAAACCTCTGTTCTGTTTCCCAGAAGGTCTTCCTCTTTCCAGAAGGCTTTCTTCTTTTCCCAGAAAGGTCTCTCTTCTTCCCCCAAACCCAAGACGTGGCCCTGGAGAGTACTAAAATAGACTCCCCTGGGCAAGTAGGTGTCACCCTCTGTCCCAGGAGGCTTATAGCACAGGATGGGCCCACATGAGGCCCCCTGCTGTGAGCATCCCTCCCCCACACCCCCTTCCAGGAGGATGTGGGCACTTTCCGAATAAGAAGGCCAAAACTTTGTTAATTCTGAATGATTTAACAGGCGTGAATCCTTTCTGGGCTGTGGCACTTTCAGTGACACACCTTTTACCATGTCACAGTTGTGTTCTCTGACACCCTGGTTTGGAACCACTATCCTTGTTGGCAGAGAATATTTACCCTAGCAGCCTCGAGTGTGAGTGTGCTAGGGACCACAACCACGAGGGCCACAACCACCTAGCATGCATCTCTACCAAAGTTTACCCCTAAAGAACACCACCACGAGGGCAAAGAAAGCAGTGGTCAAATTTCCCCAGATCACACACTATGGACCCAAGGGCTATCCCCTGGCATGTGATACTCATGATTATGTTCTCTTTGGTGCCTCCACAGGGTTTGACCAGCTGACCTGGACTTGGCCAGTGGCCCTGTCCTCCGTCTTGGCCGCCCCACCATTCTGGCTGACGAGGAAGATGCTTCCCTTCAAGGTGAGCAAATGGATGGGGCTCACCTGCTTCCGATCACTGGTGCTGTTCTCTCCCAGTACTCGCCAGAAGAAACTGATTCATAAGCTGCAGGAGGAAAAGGCTTTTCGGGAAGAGATGAGAATTTTCCGTGAGAAAATAGAAGACTTCAGGGAAGAGATGTGGAATTTCCGAGGCAAGATGCGTGCTTTCCGGGGCCAGATGTTGGGTTTTTGGGAAGAGGAGAGACCTTTCTGGGAAGAAGAGAAAGCCTTCTGGAAAGAGGAAAAGACCTTCTGGGAAATGGAAAAATATTTCCGGGAAGAAGAGAAAACTTTTTGGAAAAAGTACCGTACGTTCTGGAAGGAGGATAAGGCCTTCTGGAAAGAGGACAATGCCCTGTGGGAGAGAGACCGGAGCCTTCTTCAGGAGGACAAGGCCCTGTGGGAGGAAGAAAAGGCTCTGTGGGTAGAGGAAAGAGCCCTGCTGGAGGAGGAGAAGGCTCTGTGGGAGGATAAAAAGTCTCTCTGGGAAGAAGAGAACGCCCTCTGGGAGGAAGAGAAAGCCCTCTGGGTAGAAGGTGGTGGGCACATCCTGGGGGAACAAGTGCCTGAGGATGGGCCCTATGATGTCAATGGTGGGCAGCAATCACCAGGCCTCTCCCGGGGCAGGGCATAAGGAGCGCAGAGATGCAAGGCTGCATGGGGTCCAGACTGCACTGGGTTGGGATTCAAGTCCAGGGTGATCCTCACATGCTGGAGGAAAAAAATCACTTATTTGTCTCCTTGCTTTGAAAGATCTCATAAAACCCTGAGGAGAGGTTTGGAAAACCACCCTCTGAGGAAGGCCGGCTGTTTTTTCCAGGTGTTATGATTCTCCAAGGTCATATTCCCACCTCCAGGCTGTCCTGCTCGTCACAAAGCCCAGTCACAGGCAGGTCACAAGGACCCTGGCACTGTAGCTTTCTTCAAGAGAGTAAGAGTAGGGAGGAGAGGCTGAGAGGACACAGGGATAGAGGTGGCCTCAGCCACCTGGGGGTAATCTCGTCTTCACTCTGCAGTTGGGGAGGGCTGGAGTGGCTTGAAGCCTTCCAGAAAAGGCCACAGTGCGAGTAACAATTCATTTGTGCCTCTTCTTCCCCCAGCAGGTCATTCAGAACGGGGTGGGGGGGGG